TATCATTAGTCCGCACTGTATAGACTATAGGTTCATAATTTTTTAAACAAATAACGCATGTCACTATCTACGGTCTGCTTTAATACAAGTGTATCGCCCAACCGGCCAAGAACTGCGTCGAGCTTGCCTTTCTCACCGGTAGAACGCCGAAACTTGCAATAGAACTCTCACACCGGAGGGGTTTTCCTGTGAAGAGCCTCCAACGCTCAAGTCATTCTTGAGAAGATGTATATATGTTAAGAGTATGTAAGTGTATGAAGAGGTTGTGTGTAAAATGAGAGTTCTCGTCCTTATTTATAGGGACGAGCTACCTGTTATCACGCGCCGCTTCAGCAAGTAGATCTCTTTTTCTTCCTGAAACGTATGTTTTTAACTCGAGTGCGCAAAACGATGTAATAACGTGGATAAACAACGTAAATAGCGGAAGCAATAAACCAAAGATGTAAAACTCTTCAGGGAAGCGTCCCACTTCCTATTTCATTAATAAACCGTTGAACACTTGCATAGTTTGTACTTACACGACTCGAACTCCCTTCTAGTCTAGCCACAACTACATACGATCCTATCAATTACTTCTCCGGCCACGTCCCGTGGACTTCTATCTCTCGAATCCCTCGAGCTAACCACTGTACTTAATCCCTAAGTACTGATCAAAAAAGTGTTTGAATGAAATTAAGAAAAACAAACTAAACAGCTTCAGTTCTTGGATACGTAAAAACCCTTGAACTGAACTATGAACAAAATAAAACTAAAAAGGCTTGAAGCTCGAATATTGAATGGAAGATAATTATTTTAGCATCATATCTTTGATCATCAAGCATGGTATATATACAACTCCTTAGGGTGGAGTCTTCTCCAAGTTCTTCCTTTCCTTTTAGGAGTCAATTTCCTTCTTAATTGATTGCTTTCTGATTTGGACGAAATCCTTCATGTAAGGTAAGTTCCCTTGATGTGGAATTCGTGCATGTGATTTGGAGATCTTCAGAATTGAGCTTCAAATGGAATCTTGCATTTCCAGAATCTTGTAAGAACATGACTTTCCAAAAATAACCGATCTTCCAAATCTGCAAAGATCTTGTGGTGAATCTTTCCAAATCTTCCTTACATCTTCTCATGAACGTCGAGAACTCCTTATTCACGAATTGCTCATCCTTTCATAGTTCTTTGCCACTTATTCCTTGTCCTACAAGAAAAAGAGAACTAATTATGGCATGTGGCATATATGGTAAGTAAATATATAGGATATTTATTATGTAATCCTTCTCCTAAAGGATTAGGATTCCATAATACATACTACAATAAATATATACCATATATTATTAATAATAAATATTAGTAACTTAATTAAATCATAAGTAAATAAATAGAAAAACTTCCCTTTTTAATTTATTTTGTTTGCTTAACAAAAAATCTTCTAGAAAACACTTAGGTTTGTCGGACATGATGCCAAACCAATGTTCTTACAATCTCCCCCTTTGGCATTCAGTTCGAAAATCGTGTTTCTTGAAAATAACCTACAAAATAAACTCAAAACAGCAAAGCAATTATCTATGTTCGAACATCAGGAAGTAAACTACTCAAACACCTACAATGTAAGAACATCAAAACAGATCCTATCAAAACAACTATGAGGACTATGATCAGAGCAATCAAAACACATCAAGCTATCAGAACCTAAGTCAAATAAAGTGACCAATGCATCTCCCCCTGTCAGAATAGACAAAACAATCAAACAGCAAAACATACATGTTCTTACATCCTGTAGAAATATATCAAAAACAGCAACCACAAGTAATCAGAAGCAAACAACTAGAACATAATCCCGAACATCTTCAGAAACATCCTATTTCTCCCTCTTTTTAGACTGAAATGCCAAAGGCAAATCTCCCCCTGAGTAAGAACATCAAATGAGAAAAATAGAGATGACTGAAGACAAAAGACGTTGCTTGAATTGATATCTAATCGCTGATATGCTGTCCATCTCTTCTCCAGGCCTTTGCCATCAATCAAAGTGTTTCAGAAGCACATTAGAAAATGATGTAGGAACACAAATGGTTAAACGAATAATTCATGGAGAAAGACAAATGGAAATGTGGTTCTCAGGTTCCGAAAATAAAGATATATAGTGAGGACAGAATGAATGAAAAATGTCAGGATGTAATGGGTAAGGTTTAAAAATCAAGGGAAAGGTTGGATACTATGCAGTAAGAACATTCCCATCAAAAC